GGTGTGTGGGTGGGTGGGTGGGTGGGGTCGGGGCAAGGGAGAGAAAGAGGTTTGGAATAGGTGATGTTTAAAGATCTAACACTGGATGGTTCTGTGATCCTCTTCCCCCAGTAATCACTGCAGTTTCCCAGTTCAATTGTGCATTTATATAGTAATTAATATAATACTATCACTTATATAATATTTAAGTTTGCAAAGCACTTTACAAATGTTTCATTGTATCCTCACAACAACCCTGGGAGATAGGAGTTATTATTATCCTGATTTTACAAAAGAGGAAACCGAGGCAGGTACAAGATTTGCCTAGGGCCACACAGCTAGTAATTGTCTGAGGCCAATTTGAACTCAGGTCTTCCTGACTCCAGGGGCTGGTGCTCTATCCACTGCACCACCTAGCTGGTGGTAGAAGCTCCCATTGTGAGCTCTGGTGTCTGACTGGTGATGATGGGCTTGAAAGAGCTACAGGGCTTTGTTTAATTGAGGAACATTTGTAACACCTTGAACTTTGGGGTTGGGGAAACCAAGTCAAACCCAAGAAAGCCCATGACCTCAGGGAATATAGGATGTATTATGTAGCTAGAACAATCCTCATGGTGGAATCAATAAAGGCGGGCAAGATTTGGAGGTGGAAGAAGCTGAGGTCTCTTTTCTTCCTCCTTTCACACTTGTTGTCCTTATAATACCTGATTTCTGTAACTCTTGAAACATAGGCCACCTCCAAATGTAGGCCTCATCCCTAAATGAGATCTTTTAAAGTAATGTAAAACACACACACATATACATATATATGCACACATGTATACATATATGTGAGTAATAATACACACGGTGATACACTGAGAAATAATACTTATTAGAAATACCTCAACTTTTTTTTTTATACAGCCTACATTTTGAGGCAAAGCACAGCCTATGTTTGCTATTTTCGGGAGCCTAGACTAACACAGTGCAGTTAGCTCCTTATTAGTGTGAATAATGAATCCCCTGAAGTGGGCGCATATATTTGAATTTGTACTATTCAAAGTTTTAATTATGTAAAATATGGCAATTGGTTCTATCCCAATGGAAATATGCAGTGCAAATTCAAATAATGTGGTCACTCCATGGGATTCATTATCTGTCTGTCTGTCTATCTATCTATCTGTCTGTCTGTCTGTCTGTCTACTATTTTGCATCACCTCCCTGCTGTCATGGTCCTCTTTGAGAAGGCAGGACAAATACAACAACAACAATAACAACAACAATTTTGCAGCCAGGTAGTGCTGTGGATAGAACACTAGAGATGGAGTCAGGAAGACCTGACCTCAGTTACTAGTTGTGTGACCCTGAGCAAGTCACTTGATCTCTGCCTGCCTCAGTTTCCTCAACTGTAAAATGGAGATAATAATAGCACTTACTTCCCAGGTTTGTTGTGAGGATCAAATGTAAAGAGCTTAGCAAACCTTAAAGCCTTATATGAATGTGAGCTTTTATCATTCCCTGATGTCAGCCTCCAAACAAGGTTGTAAGCCCTTTGTAAGAAAGAGTTGTATTTTGTACTCTCCTGACATGCCATGGTGTCTGTTGTAGCATTGTGCACAATGTAGGCAGTCCACAAATACCTCCTGATTACTTTGCCAACCTGTTGAAGACATGGGAAAACTTTCAGACCATTGTGTGTGTGGGGGGTTACTATGCTAATATATTGCCTTGAATGTAGGTATTTTTTGCACTTTGATAAGAGGGTTTTTTTCCCCACATGACCAAAAAGGTATGTCTCGTTCTGCATCCTGGATTCATTACTTCTCTGTCAAAAAGAGGGTAGCATGCTTCATCATCAGTCCTTTGGACCTGTGGTTGGTCATTGAATTGGTAAGAATTCTTAAGTCTTCCCAAGTTGTTTTGCTTTATAATGTTGTTACTGTATGTACTGTTCTGATTCTGCTCACCTCATTTTGCTTCAGTTTGTACAAGTGTTCCTAGGTTTCTCTGAAACCATCCTTTTTTTCATCTCTTATGATACAGTATTACATTTACATACCGAAATTGTCCAGCCATTCTCCAATTGATGGACAACTTTGTTTCTAGTTCTTTGCTACAACAAAAAAGGGTTGCTATAAATATTTTTGCACTCATATTTATGAAGAGTTTCTTAAATATTGAAATACTTGAGCGTCCAAACAAAAAACTCCTTAATGGTAAAATTTCAAGCACCAGTGGGATTAGTTGCCTTGGAACAAGAGACTCTTCCCAATGTCCCTCAAATTCTACCAACTGGGTGGCTGCCTATTGCATTTATTTGTGAGAGCAGAGACTGTTTGTTCCTTTTCTTTGCATACCCAGCAATTAGCACAGTGCTTGGCACATAGAAGGTATTTAATAAATGCTCTTTGACTGACTGGATCCAAACAGGAGAATTTGCACTAATACACTTTATCTTCACAATTTTACTATTTCACATTGAAGAAACTACTCCAGATGAAAAAAGGTGTGTTGGATGGAACCCTTGACCTAGAATTAGGAAGATCTGGGTTCAAATTATACCTCAGATTCTAGTCATGGGAACCTCAGCAAGTCACTTAACTTCTCAGTGCCTCAGTTTCCTCTTCTGTAAAATGAGGGTGTTGGACTAGAATACCTCTGAGGTCACCCAATTCTAAACCTGTGATTTTATGAGTTGTTTTCCTCTCTGCTTCAACTTTTTTTTTTGAATGAATAATGGGAGAGGAGTCAAGAAAAGGTCTTTTAAAAAAGAGTTAAATAATATGGTTATGTGGACATCAGCTTTAAAAATTGTGAAAACAAATGTAACCATGGTAAAAAATCTGGAGCCTGTCAACAGAGACACAGAGCAATCTAGCCATACTCCACTCCCACTGTGACACCATAGATTCTTCATTTTTGCTTTTTTTTTTTTGCTACCAGCCTTACCCTGGATATTTTTCTTTTTTGACAAACAAAATAAATATTACATTTTAATGTTAAAAAAGGAATATTGTATGTAAACCCATGAACTTTTATTATGTAGTTTGTTTTTTTAAAGTGCATACTAAATTTAACAATGTAGTAACAAAATTGCTCTATTTGTGTCCCCTTCTGAACTTAATTTTACTTTCTTCTCATCTCCCCAATTCTTACTAAAAGCACCCATCATTTGGCTCAGGCTTCTACTTATTTGATCATGTCCCCTGCTAAGCCTTCTCCTTGTGTTGCTTCACTTATCTACTACCCTCCACTCAATGATTGAGATTTAAAATGTGGTTTAATTAAATTAATAAATGCACAGTAAAAGCAGAAGCATTAAATCTCATGTAACATAGACTACATATTCTATTTACTTCTTGGACCTGGTCCCTCCCAAGGAAGACAAAGGCCCCTTTGAGGCTATAGCCCAATTTTAATCTCTCTTTTTATTTGCATAGTTCTTGGGAAATACTGAAAGGATGAAGAAAGAAGATTTGGCTGGCAGTCTTGAGGGGAAATCTTTTTGCTCCATGATGAGAAAGGTGATTGTCATGATTTAGATGGCAGATTACTGCTCCAAAGGATAATGGTCATAAAATTTTGCAGCAGTGTTATAAATATAGATGTGGTAATTTAGCTATAATCCAAACTGGCAGAAGTTCCTCTTGGGTGTGAGGCAATAATAATAGCCAACATTTATATAGCACTTTCAGATTTATAAAGCACTTTATAAATATCTCATTTTATTCTCACAACAATGTTGGGAAGTGGTGCTGTTATTATCACCCCTATTTCACACATGATAAAACTGAGCTGAGAGTGGTTAAAGTGACTTGGCTAGGATCACACAGCTACTCAATGTTTTGAGTCTAGATTTGAACTCAGGTCTTCCTGTTTCCAGGACCAGTGGTCCATTCGCTGGATAGGATTATTTTCTGGTTGGACCTAGAAAACTAACCTGCTTCAGAGGACCTTTAAGGATAAGAATGCACCAACCCTATAAGAGATTCTTGCTTCATCTTTTCTAAGTGCAAAGACGTCCTCCAAAGTTGGGATCTCACAGGCTCTTACCACCAGAATGAGAGAGGAGGGAATTCTTCCTCTACTATTAAAAGATGTCTGGCTGTAGCTACAGCTGGAAGGCAAATAAGTTATTGATGCCACATGCTCTCAGTTTTCCTGAAAATAGAATTACTGAATGACAAGGCTGGAAAGGACCTCAAGAGAGGAGACTTCACGCTTTGCAGGATGGAGTGATATCAAAAGAAAACTGGGGATGGCAACTTATGCAACAGTGGAGATGACTTTTTTTTAAAATGAAGTTCTGTAAAGGAGCAGTGTCTATTCTAATTATACATGGAAAAGGAAAAGATGGTGAATTAATTTCTCTCTTAATTCAAAGGGAAAAAAGTAAGATCCAAAATTTTAAAGCGTGATATAAACATTGAATCTGCTTATTCAGCCATGCAGACACAGGCTTACAGGACTAAGGTCTGAAAGAATTCGATTTCTAGAATCAGAATTTCAATTCACATTATGGGATAAATAGACCCTCAAATGATTCATCGAGTTCTTTTTTCAGACCACTGATTTTGACTGCCATCAGCTACTTCTTTGTGGTGACATTAGTGAGTGTGGGAAGGGCTGACAAGCATTTTGAAGACTTTGAAAATTTCATGTGAGTAGCTAGGTTTTTGCACCCACTATCAAATTTCCTAGATAGGCATATACACAGGCACACACACAAATTATTAAATATCAGATGGATTTTTTTTATTGGTTCCATATTTTTTTTTACATATAACGTCTCTTCTTTCCTATTTTCCTTCACCTTCTCCTGCCCAGAGAGTCATGTTTTGTTGCAAAGATTAATTAGATTTTTAACAAGCAAAAGGCATTGAATTTCCTATTTTCTATGCAAATCTTTGACCCTAAAACATAGCTCCCCCTCTTTTTTTGGTTGAGGGGAAAGAAGAAGATGAAAGAAGGTACAGAACTAGCATTTAGGGTAAAAGAAGGGTGAGAACTGGTGATGGTAAGAGAGCTGAAATACTCACCTCCTGTTTATCTTCTCTCTTTTCTATGACAGAGACTGTTTTTCAGCCTGAGAAGTACAGAATTAAAATGGGTAAAAGGGAATTAAGATGCAAAACAAATGAATGAAGAATAAGAAAGAATCTAGTTGTCCTCAATGAGTTTGATTTCCCAGGCCTGGACCAAGGAACTGGTAGGTATGTGATTTAGTCACTCTTGGTAATCTCTGAAAAAGCAGTAAAGTGTGTAATCTTTGTCTCTTACCCATAGTCCTGGGCTCATATAGACCAGATTCAATTTTTGGAGCCTCTCTTTAATATTTATCTCTATGGTTTATTTTTTCCTCACCCAGGAGAACTCTGGGAATATCTGAATTTGATTTATTTCTAACTCTGCCATAGGGGCATTGAGTTCCCCTGAAAACATCAAGCTAACAGGGCATGGAACATAGATCAGGTTTATTAAAATACATGTAAAGGACAGAGAAGGAGTTAAATGTCCTGGCCCCTTTAGAAAAGAGTTATGTTCAACTTTCAGGTGTCATTTCCTTTTTCCCTCTCTAGTTCAATCCCAGCCACAGAAAACAACAATAATGTCAACAATAATTCAAAATACCAGTAGGAGAAGTCCTGGAGACATGAATTGAGAACCTCTTTGAAGAGGAATGTCAATTTGCCTCTTTTCTTCTATAAATTTGGCTCATTCCCCCCTTGCAAGTTCTGAGCACCCAAACTGGATGCTGCATTTCATCTTTCAATTCTGATGCTCTTCAGCAGTGCTGAAGTGGCTCATGGTACTGCTAGATCACTGTGGCTCCTATAGCTCCTGGCTTGGTTTAGAAACTCCTTGCTTCTCACCCAGCAGACATTACCTTCATCTACAGCCACTGGCTCTTGTCTCTTGTTGCTTCCATGTCCAAGAAGCCCTGTCTATCACCTGCATAGCTTCTTTTCTCTTCTCTGTAGGCTCTTCTGGTCTTTGTTGTTGTGGTTGTGGTTAATGTGCCAAAAGCCCACGTCATTATGGAAAAGAGGTACTCAGGGTCTTTGTAGTGGCTTGGGTACTCTTCCAGTCAGTTCATCTTGGAAAGGGCTGACCTGAGTCATTTCAGTACAGGGAGGCCATCTCCTTTGCCTGCTACAATAGAACAGATAACTCAGAACTGGGGATGGGGAAAAGGACAGATTCTTTAAACTATAAGCCAATGACTTCAAATCTAGGCGAGATTCTACAGTTCATTCTTAAAGAGATAGTCCATGGTCTAGTAGGCTATTCCAAGTCAAAGCAACAACCTCCTCCCTTCCTTTGATATGTCATACTAACACATCACTGGGGAGGCATGTCATCATAAAAGCAGTCTCCATAAAAGGACATCATAAAAGCAGTCTCCATAAAAGGACACTGGTTTGAGCCAGACAAATTCCTGGCATTCCCTGGATTTTTCTTCCTTCTTTCTCATCCCTTTGATATCATTCCCAACTATCTCTTTCTTCACTGTAGTCTCTGATAATGAGATGACCCTTCTGTTTCCCAAAGCCAACATGTACCTTTGATATCATCCCTCCCATCTTCTCCAATAGATTAACCACTCCACAATACCCACTTTCTCCCTAATCCTTAATCTTTAACTGCTGTCTCCTTCTCTGCTGCCTACCAAGATACCTAAATCTCTCCCATCTTAAAAATAAAACAAAAAAACTTCAGTAGACCCTGCAATATCCTCCCAGTTATTGTCTTGTATCTTGTCTTTTTAGCTAAAGTCTTTGGGAAAAAATAATCTACAATCCTGCTTATTTAATCTTCTTGTTTATTGATACTCTACCAACATCATGATGCCAACCTTGCCTGACTTTTCACTTTATGTCTGTTTTCCCTTAAGCTTGAACCCTTCCTCTTATGGCCAAACCAGAGCTTATCATTCCTTTCTCCACCTCCAACCTGAGAATATGTCTAATCACCTGCAAATGTTGGGTCTGCCCCTCCCGGGATATAACAAAATTGCTTGGCTCCCAAACAGACGTATCTCAGATGACAATGTAAGAGCCTCTTTCTGCAAAGACCTGTGGTTGTGATGAGTAGTTACAGGCCTCTGAGGCACATTTTTTACTCTGAAGGTGGCAAACTCCTGACTTAGGCAGTACTGACCTTTGATAGAATCTGGTACTTCCAACTATTTCATTGGGCAGGCTGCCTGGCTCAGTGCAAATTGTTAAGGTCCTTAACTTCTAGCAATTTCCTCAGGACTAGGTCAAAGTGGCCTTTGTTCTGTACTCACTTACCAAGATAGAATATTTTCTGAATTTCCCCCTACACATGGATAATAGTCCCTAATTCACCAATAAAGAGGAATCTCTTCAGGACTTCAAAGAGACTTCTAACACTACTCTTGAAGCCAAGATGGCTAACTGGCAGATTTATCAACTCCATGTCAAAGGACTAAGATAGAATATCAGAGCTCCTTTTCTTCCCTAAGTCAAAGCTCACCATGGAATAGCCCTATTGTAATGAATCAGTTTGAATACACCAATGTAGAAAAGATTAGCCTGGGTGCCTGTGGCTGTGGAGCTGTCCATACTTAGCAGTGTGTGAGCATCAAGCCGAGTTTCCACAAGGTCTGTTTGTCAAGTAGGGTTTGAGGAGATTCCTACTCAGGTATTAATTGAACTAGATGAATCCTAAAGTCCCTTACAGCGCTAAGATTTTGTGATTTAAGCAGCAGAGGATTTAGGAAATTATAAAAATTTTCTGTGTAAGGGAAGGGAAGTTTGCCAGTAATTATGTGACTTTAGCTAAGTCATTTAACTCCTATGGGTCTTGGTGTTCTCATTTGTAAAAATGAAGGGATTAGACTTCAATGGCCTCAATTACATTAAATCTCTAATATCCCTTTCAGATCTAAAATTTTATGGGTCTGTTAAGATTTCTCTAACAAGTCTTACTTCTGACACATCCTGGTTTTGTGAGTGAGCAAATTACTTAATTTCTTGATGTCTAAGGCAACTCTCTAAAACTATAAATTACCAAATAGTTGCTCATCTGCATTGGTGAAAGGAGTTTCCTCTCCAGGAAGTCCCTACACTGATGGAACTACAGGTTCACATCATCCCTCTCTAATCACTGCATATTTCAGTCCTATGTATGCAATTAAAATGCAGTACCATTTTCTTTTTTTGAATAGACTTTTATTCAAATCTATTGGTTTTTATTGATGTATTTTTATTTTAAAATTAATATATTTAAATTTATCTTAAATTAATATTTAAATATAGGTTTATTTTATATTTCCCAGTACATCACTCCTCCTTCCTAGAGAATCATCTCTTATTACAAAGAGAAAGAAAAGGAAAAAAATTTTCTAGCAAAACTGCTCAGTGCCATGGAACAATTGTAGGATCATCCCAATTCTGAAAAGGAATCTGTGGGAAGTATTTCTCATTTTCCTTCTTTGAAGTCAAACCTATACTTTTTAATTTCCCAGCATTCATTTCTGATTGTTTTGTGATGATAATTGCTTCTATTTGCATTGTCATTGTTATTATGTATATTGTTTTCTTGGCCCTGCTTACTTCAGTCTGTATCAGTTCATATAGATCTTTTCACACTTCTCTGTATTCATCACATTCATCATTTCTCACAGTGCAGTAATATTCCTTCACATTCGTATACCACAGTCTGTTTAGCCATTCCCCAAGGGATTGGCATCTACTTTTTTTCTCTCAAATTCTCTGTTATCACACACAAAAAATGCTGCTTATAAATACTATGATGTATATGGAAGCTTTCTTTTTGTCAGTTACTTGCTTGGAGTACATGCTCAGCACTGGAGTCTTTGGGTCAAAGGGTATGGGCATGTTAGCCACTTTATTTGCATAATTCCAGATTGCTTTCTAGGATGGCTGTCCTAAATAAAAACTCCACCAGTAATGTATTAGGCTGTCTTTCCACAGCCCCTCCAACATTGACTATTCCCATCTTTTGTCACCTTTGCCAATTTTCTGGGTATGAAGTAAAACCTAAGGGTTGTTTTGATTTGCATTTCTCTTATAATTTGAAGCATTTTTTCATAGGATTATTAATAGTTGGCAATTCTTCTTTTGAGAACTGTATCCTTGACCAAATACTTATCTACTGGGAAATAGTGCAGCACTATTTTCAAGGAAAAAAATCATTGTATTTGGGGGAGTACATGCTGCCCAGACTCTATTTCTTTAGCTCTGATAGTTACTGGGTTAAAAGACAAGTTCAGAGGATCATAGAATTTAAAGTTGGAAAAAGCTTTGGAGATTATCTAGTCCAGTGCTTCATTTTATAGTCTTTTGAAAAATCTAGGGAGCAGTTTGTAACACTTTCTGGTAGAGAATTTGGATGGTCTTGCTAGCACTCCTGTACCTTTTATGGGCCCAAATCATCTGGACCATAGCCTGATTCGCACATGCTCAAAGCGATCGGGCTAACTCATTGCAAAATGATTGTGGACAGAGGAATAGTCAGAGACATGAAAGAAGATTGTGCTCATAGTAAAACAAATGAAAAAAGAATCTTAAATTTTTCACATGCTTGTATGAAAATAATAGTAATAATACTAATAGCTAGCATTTATTTAGTGCTTTAAGGTCTACATGGGACTTTACATATATTATCTATGCATATGAATACAGTTTGTTCATTTGTTCTATTTTGTTGATCAATTCAGTCTTTATTTTTCAGTGTGTCCTTTTGTAGAATCTATAGGATTTATTCTCCAACACTGAGAGTAAATGAATTCTCCTTTCATACTCATCTTCCCTATTATTTTTAAGCACCTAAAGTCAATTCCCTTAAGCATTTGAACCAGCCCCCAGAACATTTTGCCTGTTGGTCACTTTTACAAAGAGAAGGCTGTTCTGAGACCTCAGTGAAAACAACTGTCGAAATTCAATCCCATGGATCCTCATGGTAGCTCTCACTTGGAGCAGTCTTTCCCCACCTGTGTGGAACTTTAATTAGCTTAAGTGGGAGTTCAGTGCCAGTAAGTAGGGCACCACATCTCCGACAAGCTCTGCAGAGCAGATTTTCTTCTCTTAACTATGCTTTTTCTAAACAGAACCAGGCTTGCAGTTTTGATACTAAGATCATGTATTATTAGACATTAGCTACCAGCCCTTTGCAAGTTTTAAATGTGAGCAATGAATCCTTTTGGCTGGCAGGCCTTTCTAAGGCAGGATGTACCTATTTAGCTATTCATACTTGTGCAGTGAGATTTCAGGGAGTGCTCACCGAAAGCATTTTTTTCATAGTCTAATGTCATCAGAAACACTGAAGTAACAAATTCATATTTTTTTTAAAAAGTTGCATTAGTGCCCATGTTTGTTGATAGGATGTATGCACCTTGAGAGCAAGGACAATTTCCCTTCTGTCTTTCATCCCCATTGCCTAGCAAAGGGCCTGGCCCATCATAGGTACTTCAGAGATGAATGCTTACTGAGGCAGGTGCTGGGGACAGAAAGACAAGAGTGACAAAGTCCCTCTAGGAGCTTGTATTCTGACAGAGGAGACAACCTATACGTATATAAGGACATATATCAATACTTATACACACATGTGAATATACATGTATGTACATGTACACACATATGTGGAAGAGTACAGAGAATCTTCTGGGGACTCCCTTGCTTGGGCCTCTGAGGATGGCAGATGCTGCCAGTCATTAGATAGACTGGCACTCAAAGCACTTCATTTCAGAATGATGTGATAGACCCTCATCTTTTGCCCAGTGATGGAACCAAGGCATGATGGGGTGGGAAGAGAGAGCTCAGCTCCAACAAGTAGCCTCAGAGGGACCTGTCCTAAGGATCTTTCCAGTTCAGAAGGCCTGGAGGTCCCATTGGGAGTCAGAGATGCACGGTGGCAAGAAGAACAGATGGCACTAGAAGCATCTGCATCAGACAAACAGACCCAGAAAGAAGATCAAGGGTGGCTGCTTGCCAATGTGAAATATGAAAAGCCTAATGAGTAGCATTGCACAACTCCTATATGTTCTGATGACGCTTAAAATGTTAGCTTCCTAATTGATTATAGCTGTGGTTATGTGAAGTTGCTGAATCACTCTCAAGCCTGCTGATTCTGTTAATGCATGTCATGACTCATCTAGGCTTAGCTTTGTTTTCTGCATAGGAATAAACAATCTGTTCCATCTCTGATTCATATTGTACCCTGAGTCCTCTTTGTTATACATCCCTTTTTGGGAAAACCCTGGGTGAGAGCTTTAAGTAAAGTTGTCTCCTAGAACTCTGGGTGGGAGCTTGTTACCAAGCCAATGAGTGTGAGAATGGGGAGGAAAATCTCTCTCAGTGGAGG